CAGTGAAAGGTCTGGAAGTCAGGGATAGGAAAGAGCGTGAAAGACAGAATGACAGTCTGCCACAACTCCTCAGCTTTGTAGGTATAACTCAAAAGTGGTTATAGGTAACAGGTACACAATTGGCCATGGCTGTGTCAACAGAATTCTATCTACAATAAATCTGAATCCAGGAAGGCTCACACAGGAAGGTCCAACATTGAGCCCAGAACAGACAACTTAGTGAGATTCTATTGCAAAAAATAACTAAAAGGGCTAGGAATGTAGCTCAAGGTTAAAGCATCCCTGAGTTTAATCCTCAGGACCATCAGAAAGAGAAGAAGGTGGGGTTTAAGTGAGAGGTCAGGTCTTTCTAATACATTTTTAAAAACTAATATCCTATTACCAAACTAACCAAGTAGACAGACAACTTACAGAATCAACAAGGGAAACATAGATCCACTCCAGATGAAACAAAACCTGGGAAGTATCAATGAGATGAAAAATAAATCAATCAAGAAGTCTACATCTAGAAAACTATCATTCAAGAATAAGAAGGAAAATCTTTGGAAAGAGTTTAATTATCACCAACTTGCTTTGAAAGGACATCACTTCAGAAAGGGGGAAATTATACACAAATAATAATTGATTAAATATATTCATAAATATTATCTAATAATTATAAAATAGTAATTTTAAAGAAAAAAGTACTCAAAGTCTGAAAATATATTATCACAGGAAAGTGGAAAGAGTTTAATTATGAATTTGAAATTTCGTCATTTGGAAGGATAAATACATAATTATATAAATTAATCACATGTTATAAAATTATATAGTTACGAAAATGTTATCATTTACAACCAGATAACAATTAGGCTCTAGTTTCCAAAATAAAGTAGATAATAAACAAAAATTATAAAAACATACATCACTGTCCTAAAAGTATAATTCATGTATATTCAATATACACACACTAAATATTAAAATCTTTTATTACTGGACTGTAGGAACACATACAAATATAATTTCTTCCTTAAATTTTTCACATCATCTGAAGTGCTTATGTAAAGTTGAATCTAATTTTAAAAATAACAGTAAGTTATTTTTAAGTGATTAGGGGTATAGCTCAGGGGAAATCATGTGTTTACCATGTATAAGCCCTGGGAGGAGGGTATTTTCTATAAAGTTCATTCTTTTCCTTTGCTCAAATATAAACAAAAAATGAAAACATCTTAAATATACAACTTCCATGTAATAGTGACAAACTAGTAATTATCACTATTACATGGAAACTGTATAATAATTCAATGCAAATCAGTTTAATGACTGATCTTTCTTATATATCTCTGGGGATGGACATTACTTCAATCTGAAGATGCAGTTAAAGAGTTTTAAACAAATTTTCAAGTCAAGTGTTGCCAACAGTGAACAAGCTTGCATACAGAGGACAAAGAGAATTCTCCCGAGGACATCTTGCCCAGCTCTGCTAACTTAGCCCTGCAATGCTCTGTGCAAGCTGAGTGGATTTAAGCCACACAGCAAGTGCTATGACTCCTCCCCAAGGCAGGCGCTGGAACAGAAGTCGTCACTTGGTGTGGCCACGTCAGGGAAAGCCATGGCAGAGCGAAAGCGGACCAGGTTGCTTAACAAACTACATGTTACCAAGCTCAGAAACCAGGGGAGTGCCCTGAGAAGCTATGGGAATCTTTGATGAATAGAGAAAACCAAACACAGCACGTTTTTATAAAATGTTAAAGCGAGATGCAGTTGTCCTATTAAAATGTCCAAGCCATGGCACATAATTTCCAGGCTTTCCTTAGAAATAACAATCCAGTCTCTAAGAAGAAACAAAGGATGGTAAGAAGTCAGCAGATGCCTTCATGCTTATAGCTTTCTGTCTTGTGATGATAATCAGACTAGCTTTTATCTAATTACGAATAGCTGATATCCACTATTTACCGTAAGAAAGTATTTGGATGAATACTTCACATCTAACCCTGTTTAAAAACAATGTGCCTGTGGGAAAAATATGAGGGCAGGGTGATTTTTTTAACTGAATATTCTCATTTGGTCACTTAAAAGAAATCATTTAAGTAGGCTACCTTAATAAAAGTAGATATTATTTTTAAGGTACTATAATATAACTATCTAAAACACAGTTGGTCATACAGACCATTTTACATCTATTTGTACCCATCTTATTCTTAAAAAGATGCGACCGCTTTGTTTTATTCATTGATATGAAATGCTACATTCAAAAAGTTTTAGTTCTCATCAATTAGATTTAAATGTTGATTCATAAATTTCTTCCTCCATCCCCTAACATTTTATTTTCTACGGAAATATTGAGGATTTGGAAAAGAAAAAAGAGATAACTTATGATTTCTGTCATCTTTAATCCTCATGGCTTTACAGCATGGTAAATCCCTTCAAGTTCACTTGATTTTCTTTGAATAGTAACACATAATTACATTATTTCATGAACTATCATTGCACTTCCCCACCTTCACTACAACTCCTCAGAGCAAGTGCTAGATTTTGCTGTTAACATACTACCAGCCTTACATTTCCAAAAAAATAGTTCCAGTGTGTTCCACTGACCACAGAACTTGCTTTGAAAGGACACTACTACTTATTCTGTGAAAAGAATGCTCTGTGGTCAAATAAATTGAAGAACTGCCGCAAAGCCTTCTTTTGGACAACGCTATGCATTCCTTCCAAATTTTACCCAACCCAGAAGTTCCTGTATTCATTTGTTCATGAACCTGCCTACTTCTAGAGCATGAAGTTGTTACACCCTTCTGGCAAACTGGGGAAGCCACTGTACTAGGCAAATGTAACTCTTGCTGACCGAGAATATGGGTCTTTCAATAAGTTCATCATTTCTCAGGAGACATTTAGAACACTCATGTTTATAATTCCTCCTTCACCTTCTGAGGCTCTCAAGCATTTCTACAATGTCCTTTAATATTTCAGTCTTCTGCAGCTACCATCTAGGTCAAGGTGGAAAATGCACAGCAACAATACTGAGGCAGTGGCCACTCATCCTGATCAAGCAGCTATTATGTAGTGTCAGCTCTATTTAGCACCAAATCTTAAGGCAATTTGCCATTTTCATGGCTACAGGTAGATTTAAAACCTATAGAAAGCACATATGTGGGTACAAAAAAAAATAGGGTAATGGACTGGAGATATAGTTCAGTGGCACAGTGCCTGCTAGACAAACTCAAGATCCTAAGTTTGATTCCTGGTACAAAAACAAGGAGGGAGAGAGACAGGGGAAGGGGAGTGAAGGGGAAGGGGATGGGAAGGGGAAGGGGAAGAGGAGGAGAAGGGGAAAGGGAGGGGAAGGGGGAGGGAAGGAAGTAAAGGAAGGTAATATTCCAAAATGATACACCAACTGAAGCAAATATGACCTCCTAGAAATAAGATTATTATTCTTCTCATTTAGCAAATTATCTGTGAACTATGAAACTCTAGCTTGGAAAACTGACCTGTTGATCAAATATGAAGCATTTTTTAAATCTCATAGAAAGGCTTCTAGCGTCACATGAGGGTGAGTGTGTATGTGTGTGTACGTAGGCACATCCTTTTCTGTGTATAAAATTTTACCAGCAAGTCAAAATATCTGATGTAATTTTGAACAATGCTAATCTCCACAGAGAAAAATAAAATACGTTGCTTTAGTTCCCCTCAGTGTTAGACTCAGACCACAACCTCATAGATTCCAGAAAAGCACTCTCCACCTGAGCTACGTCCCTGCTCCACAAGGTCTATTTCTTATTGCTTTAGGGATTCATTTTGAACTTAAATACAAATTATAATATTGCACAAATATAACACAGCATCATTGATTATAAAGACAAAGCAAGCTACAACAGTGCTTCTTGGGGTCCGTGATTACTTATGTATAAGGTCTGAGAGAACACATCTATGTGGCAGAATTTTGGTCTCCTCAAAAGCGAGGGTTCCTTTGTGTAGCACAGCACCTAGCCCATGCCCGACAATAACCACTAACTACAGAAGAAAGGCAAGGAAACGTAATTGTGTTATACAACTGAAACAGATGCAGAAGTAATTGTGAACAAAACACAACTCCACAGATCCCACTACTGATCAGCATCTTCGGATGAACACATCTCAAATTGGGGTTCAATGTCTTAAATCAAAACAGGTCTTTTTTTTTTTTTTTGGCTCCTAAACAGGGGTAGCCAGGCCTGGTACTTTCATCTGGCAAAACAATATCAAATGAAAATCTCACCTAAATGTATTCACTCTTCGATTGCACTAACAGAGTTAGAAAAGGCTTAAAGAGTGGGAGCACTCTCAACTCTACAACAATAATAAACATCATGAAAAGGAGATGAAAAATATCCTGTTTGGGAAAATAAAATTTTTGTGAATTATTTGCTTCCATGAAAATATTACTGTTAATTTATAAATGTGAGGAATTTTAAGCTATTTTCAAAAGATTTGATATAAGGCCTGGCTGACAGGAAAGCATTACACATGTGTTTTTTTTACCATATATGTACAAGAAGACACTGTTACCAGGAAAGCGCATCAAAATCTTGGGTAAATGCATCAAGGGAAAGTGGGAAGGGACTACTTATCTTTTAACAATGACATGATTTGTGTCCAACCATAAAATGTTGAATGTTCAAATTTCTTGGCTATTAAATAAAAACAAGATGCAAACTGGATCCTAATGAAATAGATTCTTATTCAAATGAGTAAACTGTTAGTCAATAATTAGTTATTAATAATTAAACTTTCAACACACATTTTCAACAAAAAATAAGAATATTGATAAAATTTTTCTTTTGCCTTAAAAAATTTAGCTCCACAACCCCATAAAAGACTGATTTGCTTCCTTCCAAAACATTGCAAAGGCTGCTATCTTTCATTAAAAGATCATAAATTAAAAATTTAACATGAACCACAGAAACTCCCTAAGGAACATGCTGAATATGTAAGAACAATGTCAATAAATAACAAAATGAAAGTTCAAAATTATAAATTACCCTTCAAGTCTTTCTTCAGTTTTCTGAGATCTTTCTGAAAATCCTCAAACTTCATCTGCGAGGCCTGGAAAAGGTCCTGTGGCTCGGGCAGCGGGAAGACACACTGCTCCTTGCCAGCATCCTAGGCAGGAGGCATACAAGTTAAACCAATCAGTGTCAGTACAACCGCGAAGCAGACAGCAGCAGCCTCGCTGAAAACAAAAATGGGTAACAGCAGCAACAAAAGCACCACCAAGTCACCCAGAAGAGAAGGGCAAGGTGCGATCTCATTAAAAAAATGGGCTTACCTCATCAAAATTTCGAAGATAATATGAAACGATATATGACAACAGGCTTCTGCTATTGTCCTAGGCAGAAAAACCAAAGTAAGTTGGTTTTAATAATTTTCACAATATATTTTGAAAATTATTAAATATGCATTACTAAAATAAGTTCCACTGCACACATACACACACGCACACATACACATTCGCAAATATTTAGAATGACATGTGAGCTTCTATATTTTGAATTATTCCAGTCCTTTGGGGGGGGGGGCAGCAATGAGACTTGAACGTTGGACCCAGGGCCTTCACACTGAGCTATATGCTTTGTACTTTTTATTTTTTTAAGGCAGACTGGATAGCTATGTATCCTAGGCTCAGCTGCAACTTGAGATTCTCTCGCCTTGGCCTCCCACAGTGCTGGGATTACGTGCGTCATCACACACGCCTGCCCTAGTTATTTCATCTGAAGAGTTTGACAGCACAGACTTTTTCTCCTCTGTTCCTAGCTTTAAGGGGAAGCAGAATTGTGTAAGCACAATGACAACTGCTATCTCCAATTTTCATCTTCCTTGTTCAGAAATTTAATTCAATGTATAAGTCATCTATTTAATGTTTTTTATGACTTCTTATTTACTACTTGTATATTTTATAATTAAATGAAACAATTAAATATCCCTAGCATTTCTATATGCCTGGACTAATAGGTATTTCTCCAATTCTTAGTTTTGTTTGAGGCTCATCAGCATATAGACTAGGGAACAGAGTTGTACTTCTGCTAAATGGGAGCTTCGAAAACACCATCATGTATTATAATTTATTATGTCATCTACTTATCTGACAAATCAATATCCATGTAGCTGGGAATAAGACACCTTGCTTAGTTCTACGCTTTGAAAATATAAAACTGTTTCACATCTAACAATCTTTGAAGATTAGGTTTTTATTTCCTTTTTTACTTTTTTTGTATTTTTAGGGAAGAGTCTACAGGGTGTTCATGGTCTCGCTACTAGATCAGACTCCTAGTGACCCTCCTGTTTACAGCCTCCCAAGAGCTGGGATTACAGGCATGGACCACCACAACCGGTCTCAGTTGCCCTCTCGGTGAGCCCTGGGGGCAGGGCCTGCATGGCAGAGGAGGGATCGAACCCCTGGGCCCTGCGCCTCTTTTTACACTTAAAGGTTCTTTTTCCATTCTCTTTTTATTTCTTGCAGTACTAGGAATGGAGGTCAGGGCCTGGGACATGCTATGCAAATACAGAGATTTGTTTGGTTCTGTTCTGTTCTGCTTTGATTTGTTTTGGTTTGTTCTGTTTCACAGTGCTGGGATCAAAGAGAAGGCCCTGAGTGTGCAAGGCAAGTGTTTTACTACTGGGCCACATCCCTAGCCCTAACAGCATTAACTTGAATTAAGGTTTTTGCCTTGCTCCAAGTTACCTGTAGATAATGTAACTTTGAGAGAATGAATACACACACACACACACACACACACACACACACATTTAAAAACAAAATCCTATGATACAAATTAAATCTCAGAAATACTTTATCTGTTACAGTGAAGGAAGTTTGGCCTGAACCTATCTCCACACATGGGTAATAAAGTTGCCCCACAGTGGTACCTCTACATAAACTGAAACCTCTTACCCTTGCTATTAGGGTAGGAATGGACATCCTTGCACCAAGCAAATGAGTCTCAGCCAATCACAACAGCTGAACTTCTAGCCAATCAAAGAATGAAAGATGCCAAAACAGATAACAAGAGGCCAAAGCCAACTGCAGCCAATCAAGCTGTTTCTGCATGTCATTTCTTTTTCTCTGGCTATAAATATAAGTTGCACAGTATAATGAGGTAGGGTATTATCAATCAACTTTGGTTTGAAATGCTACCTGGTTCTAGAACTTCTTTTTGCTCAAATAAACTATGTTAAATTTAATTGATCTCAGTTTTCATATTTACAGACCTAGCCATGGTTTTGTATCTATGAAAACAGTCAACACCATTTCATAATTCAGTTTGACATAAATTATTAATGTATTCATTAGCAACTTCCCTCATGAGACAGAACTGCTTATAAAAGTACCCTAACATTCTTTTTGTCTCCTAACTTGTAAATTGGTGAAACAGTTACAGTATATGAATCAATTAATAAAACATTTGTTAAAAGGCATAGGCATGCTGAGAAAAAAAAAACTGTTTTCATAGATACAAAACAGTTATAGTACATGAATCAATTAATAAAACATTTGTTAAAAGGCATAGGCATGCTGAGAAAAAAAATTAAGCAATCTAAATAATGGCTCTATCCATGAAAGTCTAAAAATATTACTGCAAAAATATAGTTGCCTTTGTTTTACTGAGAAAGAAAATCAGTAATACTGCATAGTTCTTTTGAGATAGCAAGTAAAATTATAAATCTTGTTTATTGAGTCAGTATTTTATTTTTCCTAGGTTACTCGAGAATTATTTAAAATAAGATTTAATAGAAGAATTAATAAAAGCCAGTATAAAGCACACAAATAATCTCTTCTTCACATATAATTAGGATTACAGAATATATTTCAGATCCATTAAGTTGAATATTCTATTGATGTAGTTACATTACTCTAATGACATCTTATAAAAATTGTTTCACCTCCAGCAGTTACTGAGAAATATTGTAAAACTATCAAGTATTTGAAAAATAGATTTTTATTTTATGAAAAGATTAAACAACACTTAGTATTTATATCAAAATACTAAGAGTAACAGTGAATATGCTGTAATCCTCATGGCAGTATTGAAGTAGTTACTCAGAGATAAACAGTTTCCTTCTTGCAGAGAAAAGCAAACAGATAATAGCAGAGAACTTTCTTTTTGATGCACTAAGAGAAAATCTATTATTTACATTTTTAACAAATGGGATTCATTTATTCCAAATATTAGAGGTTTATTCCCATGAAAATGATTATAATCAAATACAAGTTCATTTAAAATATATATTGCTATCTTAATAACCATAAAAGTCACCTATATTGCAGGCTGTTTGTGTGCCAAGAAAGAACCATGTAACATACAATTTTGGAAAAGTGGTGTCTAGCACTTCATAGATGCTCAATGCAAGACTGTTAAATGTATACATACATGTGTATGAATAAATGAATGAACAGATTTCTGACTGACAAAAGAGACCAAAATAAATATTTCTCTTTTACAAAAAAGACTGCTGTATTACCCAGGACAGATAATCTTACATATTTTCATTTCTACAAACCAATTATTTACTTATGTTTAGCATTTTAAATACGTGATCATAATTGCCTTCATCATAATGTTCTGTTTGGTGATTCTCTTATCAGAGAAACGTAGCTTTTTTGCTTTTCTCAGTTTACCAGCCCAGACTTTAGTCTGTGACTCTAGCCATCATCTCTAACCTTATATTTCCATTGACACTCTTATAATCTCTTAGATATTAATTTTAAAAAAACACAACTGTAAGAGGAGGACAAAAAATAACAAGATTCCAAAAGAGCTGAAACATTCCCATACAAATCAGCGTGAGGGAAGACACAATATGCAGAACAGCAGGACATCTTTTTCTATTGTTATTTACAAACTATTTTCATTCATTTTTTGGTTTGTTTTCAAAACATGGGGCTGTTGGCCTCTAGTGCTTAAACAGAAAAAAAAAAGAAAAACAGGTAGACTACTCATTGAAAATAGCACTTAGAAGCCAAAAAGATAAATATTGGCAAATTTGCTGAAAACAAGTTATTTTTGTTTTTAAATATTATAATTAATCTTTGAACATAGAATTCAAAATTACTCACTTTAGGAAACATCGTTATTCAACTGAACCTCACATATCCAATAGTGTACTCTTCGCTAGTAGAGAACATCAATTTTTGATCTTGATCTTGATCTCAATTTTTTTTCTGTTTAAGCAATAGAGGCCAGAGATTTCAACTGGCTTATAGTCAGACTTACTACTAAGCACAATACCCTTAATTTGCCTACGCCCATTAATACAAAATACTTACACTGCTTTTGACGTCCTTCAGCTTGGGGAGAATGTCTAATCCAAAACCATCCGCCTGTCCTCGTGTCTTATTCCCGCCATTCATGTAGTTGCCAAATGCAAGAACCAAACCCAGAACCTGCATAACCCCTGGGCCATTTTTTAATGTCTGCAACACAGAATACAGAATAATTTTTCTCTTATACCAAGTTTTACTTCGCTCATCCCAGACCAATTCCAGGTCTTTGCATGATACTAGTTGTTTTGGTTTATAACCAGGCTTTGTGCTTTCCTCTTACTAGGTTTATTTTAAGAGTAGGACTGCCAAAGAAACTTTAAAAAGCTGTGCCACCGAGGGGCACTAAGATAGGCTTTGTAAGTTGAGAGATGCCGATCTAGGTCATTTGTACCACATACTTCCAAGGTAAGCAAGTAAGGCTAGAACTTTTTAAACTACTATGAAATAGTGCCAACAACATTGTCCTAACTGGATTTGGAGAATAATACAAATTTGTGGTAGAAAATGTAGAAAATAAAAAAGCAGTTCTGAAGATTAATTTCCAAACTTAGGTATACCCCCAAAAGTTCAGACTCATTTCTTGGAGAACACTAAGTTGACCTGGAACTTGTACACGATTTTCTTTGAAAATGTCTTTGATAATATCCTTCCACTTTTCAAAGTAACTCAATACAATCAGAACAAATGGTCCTATTCATTTGTGACAAGTTGTTTTAAACGTTAATACTGGTCATTTTTGCCAAATATTTAGTCTTTGTTTTTCCCTTGAGGAATATTTATCTTTTGTTGAGTCATATGGCCATGCCTAAACCATTTGTTGGAATAACTACTAACAATTTGTTTGGGGCAATCCAAAAAAAATGGAGGACAGTAAATATCATGCCTTCAGAGTCCATTCATTCAGAAGTCTGATGTCTGTGAGGACCACGAAGAAGGAACATTTGGGTTTGGCAAAGGCAGAAGAAAGTGAGGTCTCCACAGGGCAACACACCGGCCCCACACCCATCCCGGTCCTGCAGCTTACACGTCAACTTGAACATGTGATCTGACATTGCAGCTCAATCATAAGATGTTCCCTTTTGTGAGAGTGCTACCTCTTACACTAACTGAGTACTTAGAACAAATAAAGCTTTTTTTGATCTACAAAGATGGCTAAAAAAATTAAAGATCAGAACTTGAATTCAGCTCTTCTGGGACCAGAACCTACCTCACATAATTTCTGCAGCAATTCCAGTTTGCGACGGATTGAGAAAATGCTTTCTGAAAACGTGGATTGGAACAGGATGCAAAAGACTCGCTCTGAAAAGTTGGGGATTAGTGACAGTTCATAAAGGAACCTAAGGAAATAAAGCCAAGTTAAGAGGAAAAATATAATTCATAGAAACACATATTTATCCTCATCTCATTAATAACAATTATGCACTCAAGACGTAGATTTTTCCAAACTGGAAAGAGCCCACCCGGCCAGGATGCCAGCGCAGGGTCCGCAGGCAGCACGCTTACTGTTCGGGTTTGTCCAGAGACTTGGCGTTTTCCTTGTCTTTGGAGGATCGACCGTGCTTTTCAATTTTTTCCAGTTCATCTGACTGTGCTCTCTGGAAAAACAAAACCCAGTTTTTCAGAATCTGGTCAGTTGTGTCCCTTAGATAATAATGATTTTAATACAGCAAAACTATATTTTCATATTTCTTAGCATCTGTTTGTAGTAAAGCCTGACTTAATTCATGAAACATTTTAAAGTGTAAATACGTTTAATACAAACCAGATCATCCCTAAATGTACCAAATAATGCTATTGACTATTAGTGATCTGCAAAATGTTTATTCATTCCAACATGGTTTAAGACAATAGTTTTCCTTTCTTCTTATTTTGGCTGTTTATCCCTTAGAAAGCAATAATTTCATTTTAATATGGTCTTTCTCGTACAGAAATCAATCAAATTAAATTTGAAAGTGAACTGATCCTCAACCTCTTATAACTAACTTATTTAACTAGCATATAATCATTGTTTTCTGCATTTTTCCCATATTAGAGAAGGAAAAGCACAATTACATTGTGAAGATGTGGAACAAAAATAAAAGATTTTGATTATTCTGCTGACTTGCTTTTTGATACAAAAATAGCAACAGGCTTATTTTCTTCCTAAATGTCTTCTTTCACCCTTCATAGCTGTGACTTAAAAATCTCTCACAATAATTTTTTTTAATTGTAATTAGTTAATTAATTAATTAATTAATTAGGTACAGGGTCTCAGTAAGTAGCTCAGACTTGGAGTGATCCTCCTGTCTCTGCCTCCCCAGGACTATGATTACAGGTGTGCTCCACTAAGCCCAGTTTCAGGGCCAGCACGTGGTACAGGGGATTAAACTCAGGTTCTTGTGCTTGCCAGGCAGGCACTCAGACTTCAACCCCTGAGTTATCTCCCCAACCCCTCTGTGCATTTTTAATACAAAGTAGAAACTTTTTATCAACTTTATGAAACACCAATCTACTTCTTTTTCCAAAATACTTCAAGTATTTTCACTTGTATTTGACTTTATTTCGCAACTTACAAAGATGTTGCAAAAAAAAAAAAAAAAAAAGCCCAAACAGTACATTTCTAAATGCGTTGAAGTGTATGAATACAAATTTCTTAGGAATTGATAAGCATCATTTACAAAGCCGCGTTCTGTTTTGTGTTTACTGGTTATTTTGAAATACAGAGTTTCAGATGATAACTAATGACTTGGTACATCAAGAAAATTTTTTTAAAAAGCTGATGGTGTATTAGCCAAGGAAAAGAGTTGTTCTCTGACAGTTTGATTCATCTTGCCATTGCGATGTCATACATCAAAAGGACACAAAGAAGGAGGAGAACTCTACTGTAAATACCTCAGGCTACTCCAGAAATTAAGAAACTTTTCTGGAGCATTTCAGCTGCAGAGCAGTGTTCCTTCCCCACCACTTATTGAGGTCCTGCCTCCTCGTTTCAGGTGAGCAGCACCTCATTGACTTTTCAGTCAAGTGAAAAGTCAGTTCACAGACACCAGCAAAGTGGGATATCTTGAAGCCACGCCACAGAACAGCCTTTTGGAAATGAAATGGCAAGACCCATCTAACTGGCAAACAAGAGAGCAGGTAATATCGTCAAGCCAAGAGTACTAACAAGGCAAGGCTTGGTGTAAGATGACATAGCTCAACAAAGTTTGTTTTTTAAAAAACAAATTATAATTTCTACTAGAACAACTGATTATCAGCTATTTCTAAATCACCCATATTCTATACCTTTAATCTCATCAGAAACAAAGACATCCAGTTTCTTACAATCTGGTGAACTCATATATTTGTTGGTTTGATTTTGTTTCTTGAACAAAATACTTTGCTCCTCAGACTCTGACATGGACTTGACCTGTCTGGGTGCTGGTGTACAGAACGAAAGGTTAGAACTTCACTGTGTGGACCCAGCAAATTCTCCTAGGTCTTAGACAAGCAAATTAACAGGAGCTTCAAGAGGGCAGGTATCACAGAAAAATGATGGCCAAGGTAAGTTAGAATGATCATTTCAACAACAGAATTGGATGTCCAAATGCAGGTTTCCAGTTGATATGAGTAAATATCCATAATTCTTTTTTTCTCTGAGAAAAGTTCAGGTGTACAAAAGAATAAAATTGTTTCTACTCTTCAAAATAAAACTATAATAAAAATAAGACACATATCAACAATCTATGAAATATATTTAATATTTGAATATATTATTTATAAATTTTAGGTAAAGAACATATGAATTTATGTTTAGCAAAGGTTTTCAGTATTTTCACTTAATTATAAAGTACTAAGAGGTTTTATCTGTTTAATTTTTAATAGCTTTATATTGTTTATAAAATGTACTCTGACAGTGAATACCTTAAATATTTTTTACTTGACAAAAATTTAAAAGTTGTGAATATGTCTAAATCCATTTGCATATGCTATAATAGAGTATCAATTAAATTTTTGAAGGTTTTGGGGGGTCTTTTGAATTTGACTGTTTTTATTAACTGCTAACCGATTAATTTATTACCAAATTTTCATGAGACCAAAGGCAAATGATTTTTCTTAATAAGGTTGTCCATACATGAATCTACTTGAAAGACTATAAAAGGAACTTTATTAATTGTGGACTTTGCAATGGAAAAGCTCACAAAATCTAGAAAGATTTAAGAAATATAGGACAAAATATTTCACTACTCCTGAATTCATTATTTTAGGTGATGGAGTTGTTTCCTATGTAAGTAAATACGGACTCAGTCTTTGCAGGAAATTAGGAAGAAATATAGCATGGCTGGCCAACACACAAGTTGATGTATCAGAAGAAACTGCCTATTTTTAATATAGACTTAGAAAGGAAGTTCTGGCTGGGGAGATAGGTCAGATGTTTAAGTGTTTGCCTGTCAAGCCCAAGATCCTGAGTTCAATCCCTGGTACCAAGAAAAAAGAAAGTTCTCATGTGGACTTTCATTAGATAACATCTAATAAAGAGAAGCTTTAACAATTGTTCCCATTTACAAATGGTAATAAGTGATAAAGGGTATCTCTTATCTCAGCCAACTTCTGCTGAGTAGAACCAAGTAGAACCTGTGAGGTTCTCTGAACAAGTCTTGGTTATGAAAGTGGTCCTGAGAACATTTTAGAAAAAGCTAATCTGGAATGTAATGCAGTCATTACACGGAAACCACTCTTCAGGTAAGACATGGCTAGACCTGGCCTTTACTTGTTAGTTATTAAAAAGTACAATTTTCATTTTGTTATCAGGAATTCAACAACCATTCATGCTATAAACTAATGTCTAGCAAAATATTGTCAAATTTACTATAATGTCTATTTTTTAAATAATGGATACATATAGCAAAAATATGACCTACTGCATGAAGGAAAAAGCAGCATTTATATTGGTTTTTGCTATGTACCATTACTTGAGAAATTATATAACTTAAACTTTAAAATAAAAATGGTGCATTTATAATTTGAAAATAATTGTGCCCCAGTGTCACTTGAGAATAGTGACTTTCTGGTAGTTCCATAGTCACCTCCCAGACCTGGAGTACATGGGGATTAATGATTGTGTAGCTCTTTCTGCCCTGGATTCCATAACAAACTAGACCATTTCTGTTCTATAGTAAAACAGGTTATTGGTGCCCCTGCCAGAAAAAAACAGAGCTGCCTTCAAGTGACAGGACACTCTGTGGCTAACAGAAAGGACAGTCTCTTTCTTCATGTCCCAGGAACTCTTTTTTTTTTTTTGGTGGAACCAGGCATTGAACTCAGACTCTTGTGCTTGCCAGGGAAGCGCTTATTCTACTGTGCTATCTCTCCGGCCCCTATCAGGAACTCTTTCTTGCTTCTTGTGTGTACAATGTTGCCCCTTCTCTGCTTTGCCCTTTTTCTCTCTGGGGCATTGCTGCTCTACACCATTGATCACTACCACTCTCACATACAGACAACTAATTCTCACTCTTGGTCCTGAACACTTACATTTTTATCCTTATAATGAAATAACTAAAACAGGACAATGTTACAAAGAAGGGAGGTTTATTTAGCTCATAGCTTTGCAGGCTGTAAGTCCAAAAGCAAAGTATAGGCTCTGAAGAGAGACCCACTGCAAACAGTGGGAAGGTGCAGGATCGCCAGAGACCAGATGTCCAAGGAGTGCTTCATGGGTAGCCTTGTTCTTATAGTTCAGTTGCTCTGAGGAGCACTCAGAGACTCGTGAGCACGCAGGAGTCCCATGAGAGACATCTTAATCACTTCTGATGACGATTTGGGGACACTCCACCTGTCAAATGTTACATCATCTTCCACGCTGTCATTTGCTCACAACACATGAACCTTTGGGGAACACGCGAAGACCACACCCACTGAGAACAGGCCCAAAACAGGGCAGCAATGAATTAGCCAACATGCTGCTAAGGGGAATCTAGGGTTTCTGTGAACCTCAGCAGTCACATTTTCACCAAGCAGTGACCATGCAAAATTTTTATGATTAAAATAAACTCTAAAATATATATTGCTAACTAATGTTGCTAATAATGTATCAATATGGTTGCGCTCAGATATGACACATAGCAAAAGCCAATATAAATGCTGCTTTTTCCTTCATGCAATGAGTCATATTTTTGCTATACATATCAGTTATTTAAAAAAGAGATTATAGTAAATTTAACAATATTTTGCTAGACATTAGTTTGTAGCATGAATGACTGCTGAATTAAAACATATTCACTACGCAAATAATACACTGCAGTATAGCATCTCCACATTAATTGTAAACTTAATGGCAATAACAAGGTAGTTCACGCCTCCGCACAGTGTGTCTCACGTACTATTTCCCTCCAAGGCACATTACAGCATTCTTGTCTTCAAGGACCTGAGACAACACTTCAAGGCTATTCTTCAGAGTTACCCTTAGCTGGCAAAGTCACTGACAAAAAGTACAAAAATGTGGCACTGAATCTTGGGAGAGGTGAGCCAAAGAAGCAGAACGCAGTCAGGTTTGACCTCAGCTGAGAAGCAGCAGGCGAAGTTACTGTGTATGAGCAAGGTGAGTTTGTTAGGATGAAATCCAGAAGTGATGAGGAGC